AAAAAAAAAAAAAAAAAAAATGAATTTAATAAAACCCACGGTTTAATTAAAATTAACTATTGACATGCATTCATGAAAACTTCCTTAATAACTCAAAAGATAGCTAAAGTATCACCTTCTTTTTTCCTCTCTCTTTGATGTTGAAACAAAAAACATGCATACTTCTATCAACATTATCAATTATCACAAGAAATTATCATTCTGCACCAATGATTCAAATCTATTATTTGATTACCAAATAAATTCAGATTATTAGCAAACTTATCACATTCAAATTTCAAATGTTGAGTTTATCCCTAACAATACATATCATATTTACTGAAAATTTTATTTCTACTCCTGCAATTTCTTACAAATCACTTCTCCCTCATTTTCCCATCCTTATAAGTAACTAAAAAATAGTCCTATGACTGGAAATTATTTTATCATTTTCATATATAAGTCTTCTGTTCCCAATTTTCTAAATCTTGATCTCTCCATTCATCTTTCATTCTCGTTTACACTTCTCAACAGCATTCTCGCCAAAATGATCACGAACAAATAAATCCGCTTGTTATTTATATGCAATTATTCTCTTGTATCTTTGATATCTCTCCAATTTTACGACAACATTCTCGTATACTAATCATTAAGTAATTTAGTAATGCAGTAAAAATCCCAATCTTTTCAGGATATTTATGCCTCATTACGCATATCAAATAGTGCCGTAACATATCTGAAAGTATATAACTTCGATTCATTACAGACAAAATCTTCTAAAAATTTTTCATCAATAATTGGATGTTATTATGAAGCAGTTTCATGTATTAGGATGCTTGATGAGACTGAATTAATATTTTGCAACATTGATTTCACTGAATATTTCACTCCAGATTATTGGAAATGCATAAGAATGGAATAAGAAGATGAAAATTAATGAATAAGAATCATCCTTAAGAGTTGAACTTCTCAAAAGTTACAACTATCTATTATTAACGTTTTAACTGTTTTGAAATTACAAACCAAACCCAAATAAAAATGATATCAAATTACTTTTAAAAGTATTTTCAAAAGTTGCAGTGAATGAGTTTTGATTAAGTGTTCCCTAAAGAGGCATAAATTTTAGGGAGAAATTACTTTGGCAGTAATTTCGAAGTAGTAAATTTTCGTAGAACAATTATTTGTGAAATGACCAAATTACGAACTCAAAATAATTACTTTCAAAAAAATGATCGTTTTTTTCTTCCTCTTTCCTAGCAGGTTGTAGTGGAAGAAAAAAAAAAAAGTGTCCATAAAGTGTTTGCAATACTGTCACTGTGAAATAGATTTTACTGCTCATTTTGAGGCTAATTTATTTAAAATTGGCATAAATAATTTCACTAAATTATATAGTCCCAACAGTGAATTATTGGGCATTTTGTTAAGGTGAAATTACAAAAATAAACAGAAATGACTTTTTAGAAGGTTAACAAAATTTTATGTCAAACTTGACAGGTTTAATGGAATTTAAAAGATCGATTAAATTGATCAACTTAATGTTAGCAATACAAAAATCAAACCAAAATATTCAGCAAACAAATCTGGCCTCTGTGGTCTGGATTCAAGGACAATAAAAGTAATACTAGTATATCATCCCGCGATATCGTAAATAAGACGAATATTTAAAAATGAAAATATTCTTCTGCATGCTACTACAATGACCCCACTTATTTCATCCTTCCTCAATATCATTTCGGAAATGAAATGGAGTGGATGTAGAACGAAATGAAGTCCTAAGCGACTAGGCGGTAAAGGAAAACGATGTGATGACAAATATAGCGCATAATGATAGCTAATATTAGCTCAGAATAGAAAGACAATGAACTGAAGTGAAGTTGAACTTCTGAACATTGCCTTAATGCATAAAGTAAAATGGAATCCTTCGAAATGAGATAAGAATGTGAAAAATTTTGAGAAAGGCAAATGTAGAGATATCGTACATACATAATATAACATATGATATGATATGATACGATATGATAACTGGCAACAGAGAACTACTGCAATGTTGTTCAGTTTGTAACGTACAAAATTCGCCAATTTCTTCACTCGTCTACTTGTCATTCCATTTTTACCCTCTCTTTTCCCATTCATCGTCTACATTTCCGTCTATTTCCCTACTCCGCCTACATATACTCCCTCTTTCCTCTTGTCCCTCGACTGTACACCCGATTGGAACAATCATCCAGAACGACAATTTGATACTGCAGCCTTGATACGTCTCCAATACCATTAACGAGAGCCCTGGGAGAGAGGAACAGAGGTAAGCGAAAAGAGGAAACGGGAGAAGGACTGGAAAAGGGACAAGAGGGGAAGAACAAATGAATGGAGATTTTAAAGATGAAATAGGAATTCAGGTTCATTAACTGTACTATACCCTATATCCCATTATGTTCTAAGCTTATTCATTTTCTGTTGTTAAGTTATCACTGATAATTGTTGATAACGATCATAGTGATTATATGATAAAGACTGGTGCAAGCAATGATGAATAACAATGATAATTGATGATAATCACTGGTTACGACGAGTCATGATCTAACCGATCATAGTGATGATAATGACGAAGATACGGTGATAATAATGATAATGATAGTAACGACTGATATGGACATGCTCGAATGGGATCTATAATACAGTGCAATATCCCTGCCACAAAAATAAGTAGTGATTGTCGTAAAAAAAAAAAGAAATGAAAGAGGGAAAGAGATATCGTAAATGATAGAAAGTAAAAACAGATATTATTTACAATAGAATATTTCGAAATTTTTTCAAATATAAAGAGACAAGGAATTAGAAGCATAGAGCCCAAAAATATTATGACAGTTGAGAAGATAATCAGATAGATATGATACATACCGGGAGATAACCGAAAATGAAGAAAAGGGACATGCACGGGATTCCTTGTTAAACTACCACTGATCAGCATCACCGATAACGCGCACTGATTCAAACACTAAACTGTCAACTCTGATCGCTCAGAGAGTGAATCGTTGATTCTGATAATGGTCACACCCACACCACCACATATCTACTCGTGTTATTTACTCCATTTTGTAGTTTTACAAAGACCCATATGATACCGAAGTACCAACGTCGCGAAATTTTGACGTCGTAATGCTGACAACCCATAATGTCATAGTGACCAAATAACCGGTAAGTTTGAAAAATACAACTTAAGGTAACTAGGGCAAACATTATTTATCTCGATCATCACGTAACATCCAGCATGCAATCCTGGAAAAATCATTTTTCAGAAACTGACACAATAACAACAACAATAATAACAACAACAACAACAACAATCCAGTAATCGTCTATAATGAAATGAAGCAAACGACATTTAATGATTGGAGAGCGAAGAAATTCAAACCTAACTGGTTTCTGTCTAAAATCCCGTAAATGAATAAACCCGAAAATGTTAGAAAAGCAAGCAATGAGATGAAAATCCTTCTTATCGATATTCGATTTTTCCGTAAAGTGAGAGATGACTGAAATCGCACATAGCAACTGCATAGCATCAACAGCAAAATTACGAATATTTCGGAAGAATGATGTAATCATCAAATGACCGGCATGAACCACCACTTCCTCCCTTTTCGCCTCAATAACTCTTTCCATGGATCGATATTTCCTCATGCATCAAACAAATACCTGTTTTTCAAAATTTTTGCCTGTTACATGAAACGAAATTATGTAACTAAATGGGATGAAGCTACCGCCAGAAATATATCCCTCCGGAGGTATACCAATATTTTAATACCTATCATATCGTAGCCGAATTGAAACAATACCTACATTAGGAAAAAAAAAAAACAACAAATTACACAGCAATACATTATTATTATCATCATAGTTTAATTAGCACAATTGTATGTTATGAATTATCAGTAAATGTATAAATGATGATTTATTATAAAATCAATAGATAAATTAATTCATAAATTTGCTCCATTCTTCTTTAATGAATATATCTTTCTTATCTCAATTATCAATTATTATTAATAACAACTATACGGTACTGTTTATTATTCACTTATTACATTCATACTTTACAATTCATTACTAGGTAAAAATATCATTTGAAAAAAATAAATAAATAAATAAAAACATTATAAGTATTACGGATGAGATGACCAGGAAATCGAAAAAAAAGAAAACAACGAAAGTTCTGGTTGTTTATGTAGCGATAACGAAACGAATGAAATGTGT